CCTCTTTGAAAGCACCTCGCATGCCGCCGTGAGTTTAGTCACGGCGGTCCACAGGTGGTGGACAATTTCTCCCTTTATATTCTTCGACCGCTTTACGGACTTGACAATTGAATCAATGGCGGTCACCGTCATTCCTGCAATCGAAACTGAGGATTGATGGTCCAGTTCCTCTGTCAGTTTTTGCACTTACATGTTTCTTTTGCCATTCTGCCTAGAGATCGAGACCGTGGTCGATGCAGCGATGAAGGCGTTTTCTTCAAGACACTTGGCCTCACGCACCCTCTGCTGCCCCAGCATTTTCCCGCCTGTAAACTGGCCTTCACGGTCAAATCTGAGCACCGATCTTCCCAGGCTCCTCTATTTTTCGGCAGGCTCCATGTTCTCTTCCTCCTCAGCGGTCCAAGATCGACCATTATCACCCGTAGTCCCTCCGTCCACGGCATCAGTCGCCTTCCTCTTGCTTGCCGTGGAGACGGCAGACACAATCGACTTCACCGAGCCACAGCGACTGCTAATCCGCTTCTTACACCAGACTGAGCCAGATTTAGAGCACGCATTGTACACGCCGCTACTAGGCACGGACGACGTTTTTCCCATGTTGAGACCGATTTCCTTCATATCGACATTTTGTTTATCGTAACCTCTCCTTTGGCTCGAACCCAGTTTTGTTGAGGCCTCATCAGCTCCTCCCCTAAGGCGGAGCGTGGTTCCAGGCTTCCCGCCACGATATTTTGTAGTCTCTTCTTCCCAGAACCTTATCCCCGGAGGCCGAGGTGTGCCCATTAGAGCGACCCACCTCTCCCCGTGCCTTCGCAGACGCTGTCTGTAACGTAGAGGTTACCTACGGTATATCCCTCTGCGCGCCTGTCGCTTGAGACCTGGGGGTCGATTCTCTAACTTTTAACATGGTGAAAATGTGAGCCAACTCACATCGCGTGATTCCCTAACTTTCATCATAGCGAAAATGTGAGCAATCTCACAGGAGTTTGTTCGGCAAGAAATTTCTTGTCGAAATGGTGAAATCCGAAAGAGAGACTGAGTAAGACTAAGAGAAAAACTATAGCAGCGTGGCCGGTCCGCCGTAGCATCGTGACGCGTGCAGTGACAGTTTAAGGTTAGAAAGGTCTTTTGTTACAAAACCCAAAGATAAAAAGTTATCCCTAATAAAAATTTTTCTTCAAATTTTCATACGAAGCATGAAATTATTTTTAAGAAATGCATTTTCTTAAAATTTTTTAATTTTATATATGTACGTGAATTGGTAAATATTTTAAGATTTTCAAGATTTTTCATTTTATATAGCTTCTAGTATAAAAAAATCAAATTTTTTAAATTCTGTAATATATTAATATAAAAATTATGAAGATACATTTGAAATACTATGAAAATTTTTCATCAGAAATGGCAATATATATGGCTGCTATTTTATTGGGCGATAATATTGAAGATAATTTTGAAGATAATTTTGAACCGAATAATCAAATAATGAGAATTCAGAGAAGAATATTAAGAGATATGTCAGATCCCTTCTCAGTTCCTGAAAACGAATTTCGCAAGCTATACAGGTAAATTTTGATACTTAAAGTTGAAACAACCTGACTTTGCGCGGACGTAGCTCGTCGGTCACGGGCTGCGGCCAGGGTCGCAAAAAGGTTCGGCAAGGAGGAGAGAGATGCAAGGCGGTAATAATGTGATCGATACGGATTTCGTGATAAGATGAGAATATATTCTGTTATGAAGTGCAGAGTGTCTGTATGTATGTGTATGTGTGTGCGCGTGGATACAAACTGTCGCGGCTGGTATCTTGGCTGACGGCGGTGTGCGTGTGTGTGTATACAATGCGTGTCGGTGTGAGTGTGCGGTGTGTATGTGTAACGCGTATGCGTGTGTGCGGCGGACACGATTCGCAGCGTGATCGTGGTCGCGTGAATCGCTCGGTGACGCGGGGGCGCGGGACGCGGGCTTACACCGCTAGCACGTGCGTCCAGATGTTCGCGCGACGCGTCGCAACGCGAGGAGCGATACGTCATCCCGATGGATGCGCTTTCTGCGTTAGCCTTGCTATACGGTACGACTTCGACTGTCGGGAACGTCCGACGGAGGCGGGCAAAAGCCAACACCCTGGTTCTTGTCGAAGCCGGTCGCGTATAGCGCGGAAAAGCGAAACTCTCGTCTCTGTCGCCTGGTTGCAAGGCTCTCGGAGCGGTCGCTGCAGCTGGTCGGAAACGGCCGACAGAGGCAGGGCAAGCCCTACCGTCGCGGTGCAGCGAAACGGTCCGAGGAGCGAGTAATGAGCGGTGAGCCGGAGAGCGGAGTTGAGTGCAGTCTCGGA